GGATGGGCATGGAGGAGGGCACTTGTGGGGATGAGCACTGAGTGTTATGTGGAAACTAATTTGACAATAAACTATTTGTAAAAAAAAAAAAAAAAAAAGAACTTGTTGGTGCCAGAGTGCTTGGGTTCTCATCTCTGATGGCATCACATGGTGAGCCTCAGTGCCCCCGTCTGTTCACTAAAGAGGCAACTCCAGCTGAAATCACTCTTAAAATATTACTAAATCCTCACGTAACTTCTAAAAAGATGTTTCTTCTTCCTGAGTCTGTGTAAATGTTTTTTTATCTGCAAAGTTTTCTTTGTGTTGAAATTCTAACATGAATCTTGGGTATCTCTCTGGGGTACAGTGAAGTCCACTGAAAGGCATCTCGTCTATTTTGAAAATAAATATTATGTGACCTCTGGTAATTCTTTTTCTGTACGAATACACACTTTCTTGAGTAATTAGGGTATTAGTTATTGTACATGATTGCTTTGTGAAATGTGCAAATGAGATGACCTATGCAGCCTTGTTTGAATTATTTCCTCTGGTTTGTACTGTTATTAAAAGCATATTCTAGCCCTCAGCTAACATCATCCTCAATGGGGAAAAACAGAGCTTTCCCGCTGAGATCAGGCAGGGATGTCCACTCTCACCACTGTTGTTTAACATAGTGCTGGAAGTCCTAGCGTCAGCCATCAGACAACAAAAGGAAATCAAAGGCATCAGAAGTGGCAAAGAAGAAGTCAAACTTTCACTTTTCTCAGACGACATGATATTTTACATAGAAAACCCGACAGACTCCACCAGACGCCTACTAGAACTGATCCATGAATTCAGCAAAGTTGCAGGATACAAAATCAACGCACAGAAATCGGTTGCATTTTTGTACACCAACAGTGAAGCAACAGAAAGAGAAATCAAGAAACTGATCCCATTCACAATTGCACAAAAGCCATAAAATACCTAGGAATAAACCTAACCAAAGATATAAGAGATCTTTATGATGAAAACTATAGAAAACTTATGAAGGAAATTGAAGAAGACACAAAGAAATGGAAAAACATTCCATGCTCATGGTTTGGAAGAATAAACATTGTTACAATGTCATTACTACCCAAAGCAATCTACACAATCAATACAATCCCAATCAAATTGGACAGGCATTCTTCTCAAAGCTAGAACAAACTATCCTAAATTTTGTATGGAACCACAAAAGACCCCAAATAGCCAAAGAAATATTGAAGAAGAAAACCAAAATGGGAGGCATCACCATCCCAGACTTTAGCCTCTACTACAAAGCTGTCATCATCATCATCAAGAGAGTCATCATCAAGAGAGCATGGTATTGGCACAAAAACAGACACAAACCAATGGAATAGAATAGAGAACTCAGAACTGGACCCACAAATGTGTGGCCAACTAATCTTTGACAAAGCAGGAAAGTATCCAATGGAAAAAAGACACCCTCTTTAACAAATGGTGCTCGGAGCACTGGACAACAACATGCAGAAGAAGGAAGCTAGATCATTTTCTCACAGCATACACAAAAATAACATCAAAATGAATAAAAGACCTGAATGTGAGACAGGAAACCATCAAAACCCTAGAGGAGAAAGCAGGAAACAACCTCCTTGACCTCAACTGCAGCAATTTCTTACTTGACACATTCCCAAAGGCAAGGGAATCAAGAGCAAAAATGAACTACTGGGACCTAGTCAAGATAAAAAGCTTCTGCACGGCAAAGGACACAATCAATAAATCTAATAGGCAACTGACAGAATGGGAGGGATAGTTGCAAATGACATTATCAGTTAAAGGGCTAGTATCCAAAATCTATAAGGGACTCACCAAACTATACACCCGAAAAACAAGTAATCCAGTGAAGAAATGGGCAGAAGACAGGAACAGACACTTCTCTAAAGAGGACGTCCAGATGACCAACAGACACATAAAACGATGCTCAGCGTCCCTCATCACCAGGGAAATGCAGATCAAAGCCACACTGAGACACCATCTTATGCCAGTCACAGTGGTGAAAATGAACAAATCAGGAACTTATAGATGCTGGTAAGGATGTGGAGAAATGAGCACCCTCCTACACTGTTGGTGGGAATGTAAACGGGTGCAGCCCCTCTGGAAAACAGTGTGGAGGTTCCTCAGAAAGAGCCTAAGTGTCCATCCACAGACGAATGGATCAAGAAGATGTGGTTTATCTATACAATGGAATACTAGATGGCAATGAGAAAGAATGAAATCTGGCCACGGGTAGCAACGTGGATGGAACTTGAGGGTGTTATGCTGAGCGAAATAAGTCAGGCAGAGAAGGACAAATATCATATGTTTGCACGTATAGGAGGATTAGGAGGAACTTGACGGAGGACCGTGGGGGAGAAGAAGGGGGACATCGTGGGGGAGAGGGAGGGAGGCAAACCATGAGAGACTCTTGAATGCTGAGAACAAACTGAAGGCTGATGGGGGTGGGGGAGGGAGGAAGGGGGGTGATGGGCATGGAGGAGGGCACTTGTGGGGATGAGCACTGGGTGTTATGTGGAAACCAACTTGACAATAAGCTATTTTTAAAAAAGCATATTCTATTATAAATAAGTAAATAAATAAAGTAAAAAATAAAATTAATGGTTTGAAAGATACCTCTCTTCCAACTGTATTCTGTAAATGATTATTTCTAGTGTGTACATAGACACACATTTAAGTATGTTAATACACATATATTTTTAAATTTCATCTAGATATCTTGAAACCAGGTCACTTTATTGAGCTAAGTTCTTAGTTTAATAGTTTTCTAGTCGATTTGCTTAGATTTTTTTCCAAGAAGGCAAACATATCGATAGCAGTAACGCGTTTTTCTCCTCCTTCCCAATATTTAAGGCTCTTATTTCCTTTTCCTGGCCTATTACGTTATTGAAAAACATCAGAACAATATAAGGAAAATAACATGGATAAAACAAGATACATATAAAATATTAAAAAATTCTTCTTCTCCTTCAAGTCACACTGGGGGCGTTTTTAAAAATCATGAACAGGAGTCGGAAACAAAAGTCATCAATAAGACAGGAGCTGAGTCAGAGTTGCCAGGACAGAGTGGTGGGAGACGGGTACTGAGCGCACAAAGAAACATCTCCTGGGGAGACGGAAGTGTTCCGTATCTCGACTGGGGTGAGAGTACCTAGGGATGTAGATCTGTCAAAATTCGCTGACCTGTACACTTAAAATCTGTGAGTTTTTATTATTTACACCTTAATACAGTGATTTAAAAAAAATAAAGAATGAATGTGGAGTGACTGCAAAGGGAGTGACGTGTGGAGCGACTGTGACCGTAATGGGGCTACTTGCCCCCCTGGACAGAGAGCTGTAGTGAATTATACTAATAGTTGTGCTTCCCCTCCACGTCTTCTGTGTTTCAAACAAATTGCAACACTAAGATACAGTCATTGCAGAAAATGTTTAAAACGTATAAAAGCATATAAAACAAAAATGTAACACCTGAAACGCCGCCACGGAAGAGGTTACAATGAACATTTTTTCCCTCTCAAACACTGACCGATGTAACCATACGGGCACGTGTCTGCATCAAGTTCCTTGCTGCTTGAGTCTTTTTTTTTTTTTTTTTAATTTTTATTTATTTCTAGGAGAGAGAGAGAGAGAGAGAGAGAGACAGCATGAGCAGGGAACGGTCAGAGACAGAGGGAGACACAGACTCCGAAATAGGCTCCAGGCTCTGAGCTGGCAGTCAGCACAGAGCCCGACGCGGGGCTCGAAGCCACGAACCGCGAGATCATGACCCAAGCAAAAGTCGGACGCTCAACCGACTACGCCACCCAGGCGCCCCGCTGCTTGAGTCATTTCAATGTCCTTATGGATGGGCTGTAAATGATCCAACCCTGAGTGTTAGTTTCCCACCACTGCTGTAGCAAATGATCATACATCTAGTGGCTTCAAGCAACCAAAATGCGTTCTCCCACACTTCTGGAGGCCATGATTCTGAAATGAGTGTTATGGGGCAAAAATCAAGGTGTCAATGGGGCCTTCCTCCCCCAGAAAGTTCAAGGGAGGGAGCTGTTTCTTCACCTTTCCAGCAGGGAAAGCCGCATTTCCTGGCTCTTCCTCCACCTTCAAACCCAGTGGCATAGCACCCTCTCTGATTTGACCTCCCTCACGTGGCCTTTTCTTCTGAAACATCCCCGTCCCCCCTCTTCCTAAGGAGACTTGTGATGACACTGGGCCCGCGTGGATAATCCAGGATCAGCTCCCGTGTCAAGGTCTTCACTTCATCACACCTGCCAAGACCCTGTCCACGTAGGGAACCATGCACAGGTCCCATGGATTAGGATGTGGCTCTTTGGGGGCCACGGTCTGGCCGCCCACCGCCACCCACTCTCCAGACAGGCCCCACGCCTTGCCCTCTTCTGGTTTCTTGACCACACCACACCTCCTGTTGCCACAGGCCTTGTTCACGTCCTGGGTGCGAAACGGGTTTCACAGAAGGGGAGAGACCCTTCTGCATAATAGAAGGAAAAGAACTGCAATTCCCAGGAGAGCTCGGAGGGGGAGAACGAGAGCGAGCCAAGGGACAGTGTGAGTTAGGGGCCCCCCAGAAGACCCCTCTGCTGATGGGGCGTTTCAGAGCCATCGCAGAGAGAAAACCCCCTAACAGAGATGGGTGAGGTGGTGACGACACTCCTGTCTCCTCTCTAAATCCCTCCCGTAAGCCCGCGCTGCTCCTCACAGCTTCTGCACGAACGTGTGGAGCCGGGCCCAGGGCACAGCGGGTTAGAGGAGAAGCCAAGGGCACCGGGGCTGCGCCTGGCCTCGCCACCGGCCCCGCTGGCCGCGAACAACGGGGCAGCAGGCTCCGGGGGGCGGCCAGGCCGAGCATCGTGACAGAACAAGCCTCAGAGAGGCAAATCCACCTGTCCAGCGGGCTGTGAGGAAAGACGGGGAGGCGCCCATGTGTCCGTCCCTGGGGGGCAGGTGGGCCAGGCGCTCAGGTATCTACTTACGGCGGTGGAGAGTCGTGACGCCAGCGTCATTTCCAGGTTCCCCTTCAGGCCCACCAGGGGCGGCACCAGCGTGAGCAGGTCTTTAACCTCCACAAACACGGGCCAGTGCTGGTGGGGAGAGAATAAGATCAATCCCCACACACACATTGGCACATCTTCGAAATTTTTTTTTTAACGTTTTATTTATTTCTAGGAGACAGAGAGACAGACAGCGTGACCAGGGGAGGGTCAGAGAGAGAGGGAGTCACAGACTCTGAAACAGGCTCCAGGCTCCGAGCTGGCAGTCAGCACAGAGCCCGACGCGGGGCTCGAACCCACGAACCGCGAGATCATGACCCAAGCGAAAGTCGGACGCTTAACTGACTGAGGCACCCAGGCGCCCCAACATCTTCGAAATTTCTTGAGAGAAGTTGAGGCGAGTTACTTCGGCAGCGGGGAAACCTGGAGGCCAGGCTGTGTCCGAGAACATGCCATGTCCGGGGCGGCCCATGCGTCTGCAGCAACGCGAACGAGTCACCAGTTTCAAAGCTGGGAGATTTCTCAGGAACGGGACAGCTGATAAGAACATCTGGGACCAAGGAGTGACACTGATTTCCCGGGGACCCAGAGCATCATGTGGGGACTCTGGATTTGTCAAAACAGACAGAATGTCTCTCTATCCAGGTCTCTCACAGAGGTAAAAGGTTTTAAAAAGTATGAAAGGGTGGGGGGCACGTGGGTGGCTCCGTCAGTTGAACGTCTGACTTTGGCTCCGGTCATGGTCACACAGTTTGTAAATCTGAGCCCCGCGTCGGGCTCTGTGCTGACAGCTCGGAGCCTGGAGCCTGCTTCGGATTCTGTGTCTCCCTCTCTCTCTGCCCCTGACCCACTTGCGCTCTGTTTCTCTCCCTGTCTCTCTCTCTCTCAAAAATAAATAAAAACATTTTTAAAAACGCTAAAAAAATATGAAAGGGATGTACGTATCAAGAAAGCTGGAGAAAAAGCCTCTTTGTGAGGTGAAAATTATTCCCACCTGTGTATACACGATCAGACTGCTTATGCCCACCCCACCCCCATCAATTTTCAACACCTCACTGACTTAATTTACGTCTCAGGCCCCCACAGATTCCTGTGATCCCTACACTAAAAGAGCTCCTCCTAGGTTTACAATTCTAGAGCTTAAAAAAATGCTCCTACTTTGTCAGCTAGGAGACAAAAGGCCTGGGGTCTGGCCCGTTCCCTGAGACTGAAGATACGCGGGGTCGGGGGGGGGCCCAGGGGAGTCCATCTTCCAGGGCCTGGAGTGAAAGGGGTCAGGCGTCCTTCATGTCCTTAGATGGAGGGAGAGCACCCATGGCTGGGGTTCCCTCTTCCCTTTACCTCATCTGCAAAGCTGGGGAATTCAGAGTCCATTCCCAGCTCTGACGGAGCTACGAGTCTGCCCTCCTCGGGAAGTTCCGAAGAAAACCAGGTCACCGGCCTCCTGCGGCTCCCAGGCTTCCGGAAGCATCTGGCCCCCGAGCAGCTGTGCTGTCAGCGCGCCACAGCACACCCAGGGACAGAAGTCCCAGCCCAGATCCTGGCACAGCCGCCCTCCCTGGGCTCCAGCCTCGCCTGAGGCTGGCATCCTCTCCCCCAGCCTCCTCCGGCCTCCCACCTCCGCCTGCTCCCAAGCACCTTCTTTTCCGCTGATGCACAAGACCCAGTCCCCACCAACCCGAGAGTGAAACACTCCGCGGAGCTGTGGCGTCTCCCGCCCCCCCCCCCCCCCCCCCCCCCCCCCAAGCCCAGCTGGTGTTAGGCTCCAGCTGTGTGACAGGCACACCTCCGAACTCCTTGCTGCTTTCACGACCACATTCCCCGCGTCCGCAACTGACCTCTGCTGATTCCATGGTGACCTCCGCTGAGGGCCCCCCTCCTCCTCCTGACCTCTTTTTCTTCTCATTACTTAATTTAAAAGATTTTATTTCCATGTTTCAGATAGGCAGGCGGCAAAGCTAGACATGTTAACCAAGGTCTAACAATAATTCTTGATTCTTCAAAATGGACACAGGCTTTTCAACCCTGGAGGGTCCTTGGGGTACGTAACAGCCTTAGGGAACTGATGCTCAAGGAAACAGTCCATGGTGTTCAAGAGGCCTGACCTCCAGCTCCGCAGCTGTGAAACTCCGTTACAGAACAGACGGAACCGAGCCGAGGGGAAGGCTGGGCTGGCATCAAACCGCTTACCGCTCTGCGGCACTCGTGGTTCCTGACCCATCCGTTCCGAGTCTGCTTTCTACCAGCAGTGGCCCCCAGAGGTGAGGAGACCAAAGGCTGCAGACATCCTAACCTTTTAATCCTGAGTCCTTCACGCTTGATCTTCGGTTCTCCTTCCCCGCCATTTGCTCTCCCTCCCAAGGCTCGAGTCACCTTCCACTGCGCGCCATGCATGACCTCACCCGCAGCCACCCCCAATCCTCCCCACTTTCACAAGAAGCCCGAAGGGGGTGACGGGCAGGAGGTGAGTCTTTGCAGTAGTCACATGGGTGTGGGCTGGGATACAAGGATGGCCACAGGGACCTGAGAAGTCACATCGAGACACATCAGGCACCCCATAAGCACCGAAATCAGCCAGAGGTAAACGTCCTTGCACTTGCGAGGCTCCGAATCACAGCCACAGCCTCCCAGCTCTCCCCAGTGGCCTTGACCCGGCTGCCACAGTTCAGTTCTGTTACAGTTACAACCTGTCACTCGGCCCCTTATAACCCTCCATGACCAGTTGTGATCCTGGGCGTACACCCAGAGATCCGTCCCCGCAAAATACACAAGAAATAGACAACCATGTCCCTGGGAGTATCATGCTTCCAAAACAGCCAAGACTAATGCACAGTATTAGAAGGCAGAAGATTGGTTTAGGCTGGGCGGAGGATGGAGGAGCCTCCTGGGGGCTGAGAATGCTCTTGACCCGGGTGGTGGTTACACAGGTGCATTTATCCGGAGATGGTTCACCAAACTGTACGTGTAAGACTTGTACAAATTTTGGGGCGCCTGGGTGGCTTAGTCGGTTAAGCGTCCGACTTTCACTTAGGTCATGATCTTGCGGTTCGTGGGTTCGAGCCCCGCGTCAGGCTCTGTGCTGACTGCCAGCTCAGAGCCTGGAGCCTGTTTCAGTCTGTGACTCCCTCTNAGGCTCTGTGCTGACTGCCAGCTCAGAGCCTGGAGCCTGTTTCAGTCTGTGACTCCCTCTCTCTCTGACCCTCCCCTGCTCACACTGTCTCTCTCTCTCTCTTAGAAATAAATAAAACATAAAAAAAAAAAAAAGACTTGTACAAATTTTAACACATCCACGCTATACTTCAATAAAATACACATTTATTTTAAAACTAGTAACGAGGACAAAACGAACAACCCCTCTGCACTCAGCATACAACTTGAGCAGAGCAGAGAGCCCTCCTCAGGGGCTGTCCAGCACCGCCCCACCCCCCACCCCCCCATGACCACGGCCGCTCGCTGCTCTTCACTCCTTGCAAACGCCCACTCATCCGTCTGTATCTCTGCACACACTGATCCCTTTGCTTGGACTGTCTGCTCTGTCTCTCTCACATCATCCTGGAAACTAGTATATTATCTTTTAAATTCCAACTCCAAATGTCCTACTGACCGCATTCTTTGACTCCTCTAGGAAGAATGAACTGTTCCCTCTTTCTTCACAGGCAAATGTCTGCTCACTGCCTTCACTCCCTTACACCTGCTCGTGGGATGGAGCGCCCACCTCACCCCCTACGCTACAAATGCCACGGAGGCAGGGACAGGTCTGTTTCTGCTCACCACTGCACCCCCGGGGCCTGAGAGCAGCTAACACAGAATTCAACAAAATACGCTGAATGAATAAACGAGGAACTGGATGAATGAATGAATTCATCTCTCCTACTCTGCGCTCAGCTACCAGCTGCTCACAAGCAGACACCCTGTCTGATTCATCTCTGATTCAGTGAAGAAAGACCACACGCACTCTAAGAATTACAACTGCCGTCACTGTCTCTGGTGCCCACTGGTCTACATAACCCCCCGAGAAGGCCTGAAGCATACACGTGACCTGATAACAGAGGCTTCCTCCAGGGATGAGATTGATGGCTGAGACACTTATTTTATAAACAAGAGAAACGGGGGCGCCTGGGTGGCTCAGTGGGTGAGCATCCAACTTTGGCTCTGGACATCATCTCAGGGTTCAAGACGTCAAGCCCTGCATTGGACTCACTGTTACCAGCTTGGAGTCCACTTGAGACTTTCTCCCTCTCTCTGCACCCCCCCCCACCACATAAGCATTAAAAAAAGAGAAAGGGGGAGAAACATTTATATATCCCCTTACTTGTATAACTGAAAAATAATTCTTTGAAAAAAAACCCTGAACTGATACTCTCTGGCCCCAATCCCTGGGCCCAACTATAGATTGAACCCAAACCCCATAAAAAGAGAGACCCCTGGCCCCAAATCTAGAGTAGGTAAAGCCAGCACCCAACCAGTCCTCTTGGGGCCAGCCCACTATGCAAGAGACAGCCACAAGGCACCCCCACCAGGGTCATCCCTGCTGCAGGCTCCTAAGCCAGGAGGCCCCGGCATGCCACAACCTGGGAACGGTGGGAGCCAGGCCACCTTCCTCTGTGGTGGAATTTCCCTCCGGAACAGTGCTGGCAAGGCCACGCCCTGCACCACCGAGCAGGGGTGCCCAGGGAGGTGGTGGTGCGTGCGCAGGAGCCACGCAAACCTGAATGCCCTTGAACCTCACCACACCTGGGAATCACTGCACATTTGTAAAGTGGGGAGAAAGAATGAGCCGTGTCTTCCAGGGCTGTTTTCTGTTCCTCCCAACTGCTGGGCCTCCCAAAGCTGTATGGCCCAAGGCCTGGATTTGCAGACAGCCTTGCCTGGGTATGCTCTGTGCCTGCCTCCCAACACATCCCTTCTCTGCATGCTAGACCCCCAGACGAAGACTTAACACAGGGGGTCAGGAAACTGCCTCCAGTTAGGACTTCCTCCTGGAAAGGTCTCCTATGCCACCCCTGCTGATGGTCAGGCACAATCCTGAGCCCTTCTTCCCCCGACTTCCCATCCAATCTTCCAAACCCTGCTGAGATGCCCCAACTGAC